CTGCTATAGTGCATCAGTGCTCGTCGGTTTAGCACAGATTCATTTGTTTGTCGGCAAAACAAAGCGGTCCGATTATCCCGGCAACCAAATCTGACCGCGTAAATCTCCCCATCCGAGTTTCTTTTGTTTTGTAGGTTAGTTTTATTACTGTTGTCTGTCGGACGATAGGTCTAGTCACATACATCTGTCTCATTAGTTCCATACTGAAGGCTCTCTTGTTCGCTGTTTACTTGGCGTCGAATTCTACGCGAATTCTTCTCGCGCTCTTGCTCATATATTTTGAGTAACGTTAGCAGTTTCTGATTTTATCTAATTCAGCCACCCATGGAAAATTTGTAACCCCAATTTACCTTTCTCTCTCCAACATACCAGTGTCATTTCTTTGCTTGGGAAATGTGAGAAAATTGTAATTTTTCACGAAGCTGGCTTTTTCTAGACTACCACATACCATTTAGCCGATCGGTCACTGGTAGAACTTCATTTCGGATTAAAGGAGACGTCTCTCACCACGGAATACTTCATCGTACCTGGCCTGCAAACAAACTGGAGATAACCGCAGGATATAATCGAATGCAACCTAAATTCCTTATTCAACCCTTTCATTTCTTCTCGTATTCTGTATAAAATCAAACTCAGAAACCAGTTGTTGTGCGTTTGCAAGTAGCATGTGGCCCGGAGGTCCAGTTTACAAAGACTGGAAACTAATGTTCAGTCTCTGCATTATTTCGTTTAACAGAAGTAGTTCACATACGGAGTTTTCTCTCTCTTAGCATACCGTGGCACAGTTGTTTCGCAAGTGTTTTCAACATATCGCAAACGTCTTCCCCACGACACCTTATTAAGGGTTTCCAGTTTCCCTCATCCGATTCTGTCACGGAAAGCGCATCAATCTCCGTGTGTATGCCATACCGGTACCGAGTTCGTGTCAATCGCTCGCTGTTTCAGTAGCAACAACTTGACTTTGTTCCCGTTTTTCCTTCAAATTATTGATTGCTCACATAGCAGGACTGCTATTCCGCAGATACTGTTCCATTTCTTTCAAATGTTCCACCTTCAGTGGTTGCCAAAAACCAGGAAGTGAACTCCGCGGTGCTCAATGAGCTAGTTAAGTGTTTCTGTTCGGAGAAGGTTTGTTTGACGTTCACGGCGTATCCAATTAGTTCGCTCTTTTCCCCGTAAATCGTTAACACGCTCTAATGAGACGATTCATTCTATCGGTTTCGACATTGGAAGAGGAGTTCAACTTGGTCTCTTAACGTGTTTCAAAATTTGTGTGCCAAAGCTCTATTTCTGTACACCGAGTACTTCCCTTCATCTTCAAATTGTCCAGTCAAACACAACAACTCGAAACAAGAATGGAGGTTAATCAAAACCGGCCTACTCACCCCCAGATCTCCCAAATTCCATGCTTCTTACCGCTCCATATTCAGACAATGTTTCTTTGCCCTCAACCGCCTACTTGTCCATTTGAATTACTCCATATTTTGCGACTGGCGTTTATCACTTAGAAGCTCTTTCTCATNNNNTGCGTTTTATTTTGCGGAACGTACCAACGAGGACCGACAATTGACGATGCAAATCAAAATGGCCCTCCTCAATGGGCTCTTCATCTCATTCACTACTCATAAACCATATGTGAACGAACATTGTGCATTGTTCCACTTCACGGGCTTCATATGATTACTACCTCTCACGTGCTTAGCCCTTTCACAGATTCAGCGTTTGTCACATAAGGGAATACCTAAACGAACTGTGACGCTTTACAGTCTCTCTTTTATTGGATTATGTGCATTAATAGAGCGAATGTTTATAACTACATATCCGGTTGCAAATCACCCGAATCTTCACCCTTGTGACCTATATTGACCGGAATCTTCGCAGCTCATGGTCACGAAGGATGAACAACTCGGTCCATATCAACCTGTTTGCCTTCTATGATTGCCTCTATATCAGAAATAAGTTGCATCGTGTTTCAGG